ATTAGCAGCACACCCTCCCTAGCAGACCTTCCCACCTACTGGACAGCATCCATTTTAGATTCATTCTCAAGCTGCATGCTTAGTGAGAGGAGGGAAAGTGTAGCTGCTGTTGATTTGATAGGGAAATGGATAGCTACACAATAGCGTGCATTTAAAAACCCAAAAACTTTTTGCACTGTTATAGATTGAATAGCAGTTAGTTGTCTTCAAGCGGGTGTGTCAGGCCTACAACGTGTACTCTGCCAACCTTTGCCAGTGCACATTGCCACTTATATCTGGTGTCACAATAGCGTGCATTTAAAAACCCAAAAACTTTTTTCACTTTTATAGATTGAATAGCAGTTAGTTGTCTTCAAGCGGGTGTGTCAGGCCTACAACGTGTACTCTGCCAACCTTTGCCAGTGCACATTGCCACTCATATCTGGTGTCACAATAGCATGCATTTAAAAACCCAAAAACTTTTTTCACTGTTATAGATTGAATATCAGTTAGTTGTCTGCAAGCGTCTGTGTGTCAGGCCTACAACCTGTACTCTGCCAACCTTTGCCAGTTCAAAGTGCCACTCTTATCTGGTGTCACAATAGCGTGCATTTAAAAACCCTAAAACTTTTTTCACTGTTATAGATTGAATATCAGTTAGTTGTCTGCAAGCGTCTGTGTGTCAGGCCTACAACCTGTACTCTGCCAACCTTTGCCAGTTCAAAGTGCCACTCTTATCTGGTGTCACAATAGCGTGCATTTAAAAACCAAAAAACTTTTTTCACTGTTATAGATTGAATATCAGTTAGTTGTCTTCCAGCGGGTGTGTCAGGCCTACAACATGTACTCTGCCAACCTTTGCCAGTTCAAAGTGCCACTCATATCTGGTGTCACAATAGCGTGCATTTAAAAAACAAAAAAAATGTTTTCACTGTAATAGATTGAATAGCAGTTAGTTGTCTGCAAGCGTCTGTGTGTCAGGCTCGCAGCGTATACTGTGCCCACTTGCCCAGTGCCACCACTCACTCTCTGGTGTCACAATAGCGTGCATTTAAAAACCAAAAAACTTTTTTCACTGTTATAGACTGAATAGCAGTTAGTTGTCTGCAAGCGTCTGTGTGTCAGGCCTACAACGTGTACTCTGCCAACCTTTGCCAGTTCAAAGTGCCACTCTTATCTGGTGTCACAATAGCGTGCATTTAAAAACCCAAAAACTTTTTTCACTGTTATAGATTGAATAGCAGTTAGTTCTCTTCAAGCGGGTGTGTCAGGCCTACAACGTGTACTCTGCCAACCTTTGCCAGTGCACATTGCCACTCATATCTGGTGTCACAATAGCGTGCATTTAAAAACCCAAAAACTTTTTTCACTGTTATAGATTGAATAGCAGTTAGTTGTCTTCAAGTGGGTGTGTCAGGCCTACATCGTGTACTCTGCCAACCTTTGCCAGTGCACATTGCCACTCATATCTGGTGTCACAATAGCATGCATTTAAAAACCCAAAAACTTTTTTCACTGTTATAGATTGAATAGCAGTTAGTTGTCTCCAAGCATCTGTGTGTCAGGCCTACAACCTGTACTCTGCCAACCTTTGCCAGTTCAAAGTGCCACTCTTATCTGGTGTCACAATAGTGTGCATTTAAAAACCAAAAAACTTTTTTCACTGTTATAGATTGAATAGCAGTTAGTTGTCTGCAAGCGTCTGTGTGTCAAGCTCGCAGTGTATACTGTGCCCACTTGCCCAGTGCCACCACTCACTCACTGGTGTCACAATAGCGTGCATTTAAAAACCCAAAAACTTTTTTCACTGTTATAGATTGAATAGCAGTTAGTTGTCTTCAAGCGGGTGTGTCAGGCCTACAACGTGTACTCTGTTGTTCACAGTGCCACTCATATCTGGTGTCACAATAGCGTGCATTTAAAAACCCAAACATTTTTTTCACTGTTATAGATTGAATAGCAGTTAGTTGTCTTCAAGCGGGTGTGTCAGGCCTACAACGTGTACCCTGCCAACCTTTGCCAGTGCACATTGCCACTCATATCTGGTGTCACAATAGCGTGCATTTAAAAAACCAAAAACTTTTTTCACTGTTATAGATTGAATAGCAGTTAGTTGTCTTCAAGCGGGTGTGTCAGGCTTACCACGTGTACTCTGCCAGTTTACAGTGCCACTCATATCTGGTGTCACAATAGCTTGCATTTAAAAACAAAAAACTTTTTTCACTGTTATAGATTGAATATCAGTTAGTTGTCTGCAAGCGTCTGTGTGTCAGGCTTGCAGCGTATAATGTGCCCACTTGCCCAGTGCCACCACTCACTCAATGGTGTCACAATAGCGTGCATTTAAAAACAAAAAAACTTTTTTCACTGTTATAGATTGAATAGCAGTTAGTTGTCTTCAAGCGGGTGTGTCAGGCCTACAACGTGTACTCTGCCAGTTCACAGTGCCACTCATATCTTTTGTCACAATAGCTTGCGTTTAAAAACAAAAAACTTTTTTCACTGTTATAGATTGAATAGCAGTTAGTTGTCTTCAAGCGGGTGTGTCAGGCCTACAACGTGTTCTCTGCCAACCTTTGCCAGTGCACATTGCCACTCATATCTGGTGTCACAATAGCGTGCATTTAAAACAAAAAAAACTTTTTCACTGTTATAGATTGAATAGCAGTTAGTTGTCTTCAAGCGGGTGTGTCAGGCCTACAACGTGTACTCTGCCAACCTTTGCCAGTTCAAAGTGCCGCTCATATCTGGTGTCACAATAGCGTGCATTTAAAAGCCAAAAAACTTTTTTCACTGTTATAGATTGAATAGCAGTTAGTTGTCTCAAACCGGGTGTGTCAGCCCTACAGCGTGTACTCTGCCAGTTCACCGTACCGCTCATATCTGGTGTCATAATAGCTTGCATTTAAAAACAAAAAACTTTTTTCACTGTTATAGATTGAATAGCAGTTAGTTGTCTCAAAGCGGGTGTGTCAGCCCTACAGTGTGTACTCTGCCAACCTCTGCCAGTTCACAGTGCCATATCTGGTGTCACAATAGCGTGCATTTAAAAACAAAAAACTTTTTTCACTGTTATAGATTGAATAGCAGTTAGTTGTCTTCAAGCGGGTTTGTCAGGCCTACAGCGTGTACTCTGCCAACCTTTGCCAGTGCACATTGCCACTCATATCTGGTGTCACAATAGTGTGCATTTAAAAACCCAAAAACTTTTTTCACTGTTATAGATTGAATAGCAGTTAGTTGTCTTCAAGCGGGTGTGTCAGGCCGACAACGTGTACTCTGCCAACCTTTGTCAGTTCAAAGTGCCGCTCATATCTGGTGTCACAATAGCGTGCATTTAAAAACCCAAAAACTTTTTTCACTGTTATAGATTGAATAGCAGTTAGTTGTCTTCAAGCGGGTGTGTCAGGCCTACAACGTGTACTCTGCCAGTTCACAGTGCCACTCATATCTGGTGTCACAATAGCGTGCATTTAAAAACCCAAACATTTTTTTCACTGTTATAGATTGAATAGCAGTTAGTTGTCTTCAAGCGGGTGTGTCAGGCCTACAACGTGTACTCTGCCAACCTTTGCCAGTTCACATTGCCACTCATATCTGGTGTCACAATAGCGTGCATTTAAAAAACCAAAAACTTTTTTCACTGTTATAGATTGAATAGCAGTTAGTTGTCTTCAAGCGGGTGTGTCAGGCCTACCACTTGTACTCTGCCAGTTTACAGTGCCACTCATATCTGGTGTCACAATAGCTTGCATTTAAAAACAAAAAACTTTTTTCACTGTTATAGATTTGTAACGGACCGTTTTGCACACAAGGGGTAAAAACCGTTTAGGCGATCAGCCCCCTTTCCAGAGAAACAGGCACAGCTACTGCAGAACATCAAACTCCCAAACTGGATACAAAATAGCACTCCAACTCCCGAACTGGAACCTCCCAAATAGCTGCTAGCAGACGAACAGGAAAAGCAGACAATCAGCTTACACTCCTGGCAATCAGTCTCTAACAGCATACAGTGAATCCCCCCAAGAACGAGACAAGGCTCCGTGTTGAGGGTCAAGCAGTGGTCTGAGGTGCTGGCACACCCAGCCTGGTTTTTATTACAGTGTTTCAAATACAGGACCACCCACAGGGAGGGATAAAACAACCAATCATATCACAGTTACATCCCACATATTCCCTCCCCTTATCCTGAGAGGAAACTCAATTATACAAACAGTTAAAACATACTTTCTACCCAACTTTCATAACTCCAAAACCATACATCACATTCACATAAAATTACATATTCTCAATCAATCCATTCAGGGGAACAACATATTCAAAAATGGCACAAATCAGACAAGGGGTTCAAAAGTTAGTAAAAAGTCCTTTGTGACTAAATGAAGCATGGCTTTCTGGCCCAAACCAGTTTCAGAGTCTTCTATCCTGGAGATAAGTAATTCAATTATCTCCCAGGACAGACACAAGACTCCATTAAGCACATGGTTGCAAAGAGACACAAAACACTTTAAAATACATAAAGTCACATTTATTACATAAAACACAGACATGTAACATATCCCCAGATAGCTCAGGTCCGAGCGCACATTATTAAGTGAATGGCGCTCAGACCACACGAATACAGTTTAATCGCCATGGAGCTAAAGTCTTTACAGTCAGTTTCATACGAATGGGCTCCATGGGATTCCTATCTGGGGTATAACACATTCAAACAAATCTACCGAACCCCAGGCAGAAAAGCACGAATACAGCTTTTCTGCAGGCAAAAATAAAGTCTTTTAAAAGGGGGCCATAGTCCAAAGGCAGCAGGCGAGCAACCAGGCTTCTCCAATGCAATGTGGCGAGATTGGTCTCGTCACATC